CATCTACTCTCTCATTTTGCTTTTGGAGAATCTGAATGATCTGATGCTTCTTTATATGAGTTAAGAGTAACTTCATGAAGCTGTAATACTGGGCCAGTTGAGGATTATGAATAGCAAACTCCCTATCCACCTAAGAGGAAACTAATTGTGAATAAGTGTGGAGTAATAAATTCTATACCTCATAGTCAATTGCTAATCTCAATCCAGTAATAAGGGCCTCGTATTCTGCTGTGTTGTTTGCTGGGAACTTGAGTCGGAGTCCATACTCAAAGGTAACTTTCTGTGGTGGGATCAAAAAAATTCCAACCCCAGCACCAGAACTTCCAGAAGCTCCATCGACATATAACGTCCAACATGGAGGAGAAGGCAAAGCACTTGGTTGAACATCCGATACTGGGAAGGTACATTTAACATCAAAATCTTTAAGTGCTTGAGATTTAATATTGAGCCTAGGCAGGTAGTGGATATCAAACTCTCCCAGCTGTACGAACCACTTAACAAGCCTACCCGATGCTTCTGGCTTTTGCAAAATATTTTTCAGCGACAGATTTATGTAAACCTCGATTGTATGGGATTGAAAGTAAGGGCGTAATTTTTTGGTAGAATAAACTAACGCCAATATTGTCTTATCTACTAGAGGATAACGTCCCTATGTTTCAGATAAAATTTTGTTGATATAGTAGATAGGAAGTTGTACAATATTTTATTCTCGAGCCAATTACAAACTAATGGCTTGGACAGAAATAGCCATATACAAATATAATTTCTCTCCTGGTATTGGTTTAGAAAGTAGTGGCGGGGATGCCAGATACTTTCAAAATTATTCAAAGGCTTCATGGCATTCATCGGTCCATTGGAATCCAGAGCTACGAGTGCCTCTAGGTACCTTGAAGAAGGGCAGATATTTGTCTCCTAAATGTGCCAGAAAATGAGATAGTGTTGTAATTATCTCATTTAGCCTTTAGTCCTCCTTGATATTCTTCGGTGGCACCATATCCCTTAGTGCCTTGATCTTCTAGGGATTTGCATCAATTCCTCTATGGGTTACCATAAACCCCAAAAACTTTCCAAAAGCCTATTTAACAGGGTTGAGTCGCATAACATAACATATCGATAAGTGGAAGCACTGTTCCAAGTCAGATATATGTTGAGATTTTTTAAGACTTTTCACCAACATATCATCCACGTACACCTCCATAGTATGCCTAATAAGGTTTTTGAAAACCTTATTTATGAGGCGCAGATATGTTGCTCCAGCATTTTTGAGCCCGAAGGGTATCACCTTATAACAGTATAACCCTTTGCCTGTTTGAAAAGCTGTTGCTTCTTCATCAACAGGATTCATCTTTATTTAATTATAGCAAGAGTAGGCATCCATAAAGCTCAACATATGATGTACAGTGGTGGTATCGATTAACTGGTCAATACGAGGAAGCGAGAAGCTGTCTTTTGGGCAGGCTTTGTTGAGATCTCTATAATCTATACACTTTCTCCAAGCTCCACTCACCTTCCAAATCATGACAACATTTGCCAACCAAGTAGGATAGTTCACCTATCGTATAAATCTGACTTCCAAAAGCTTATCCACTTCTTGCTCGATTGCTTGCTGATGATCTGGTGCAAACTTTTATTTCTTTTGGATGATCGATTTTCACATCATATTTATTTTGAGGGAGTGAACGATTACTTCAGGGGTGATTTCAGACATATTTGTTGGACTCCATGCAAAAACATCCTGATTTTCTTGTAAAAAATCTATAAATTTTTTTCTTCTCGTTGTTTGAGAGAAGTGATCCAATCCTCATAGTTTTTGAAAGAAGTTCTTCAGATATAGATACTATAGTAAGGTCTTATACAGGGGAAGCTTTCTTAGGGATATCCTCGCTCTGAAGATCAAAGTCCTCGATGCTCAGGATAACCATTGGATGTGGTTTAACCTACCTAAGCTAACAGGTTTGTGCTGTTTATTGATCTTCACATACTACACTGACTCCTGCCGGGGTAAGGAACTTCAGCTTGAGTTGAGGGATATAAGTGATGAACCCAAAAATTTTATTGGAGTGACATCCCAAAGATAGCGTTGTAAGACGATTCTGACTTTACAACAATGAACTGAATTGAGTGTATAGTTTGTCGAGAAAATTCTCCAAGTATAATTGGTAGACTGATTATCTCTTCTTCTCGTACAGGTCGATTATAAATTCCATACAAAGGACCTGTAGCAGGCTGAAGCTTTTTCTCTTTAGAGACCCATATTGAAAAAAGTAGAGTAGAACAGGACATCTACGGAGCTTCCATTGTCTACAAGAATTCTTTTAATGTTGTAACACGAGTCACCTATCCCCGCATTTATTACAAGTGGTACTTGATGAGGGGTTTTTACTCCCTCTAGATTAGAGTCATCAAATGTGATGGAATGATTGATATGAGCCTTCTTTGGAGTTGGGTTTTCATCTACAGCCAAAAAGGCTTGATCAGATAATAAGGGGCCTCCAACGATTATTTCAATTTCAACAACCATTATCCAGTTATTCACCGGTTATCTCTATTGTTGATTTTGTCCCTCAACGGGATGAACTTCCTCTTGGGTAGGTGGATTCCTAATAAACTATCAAAGATATTCCTGGAGGATTGTTGCAGATTTGGTTTCATGAATTATGATTTTGAAGATAGCAAACTATACTACTGCCTTTTCTCTACTGACTTTTCAGGACTCAGAGATCGGAAGGAAATCGGAATCAGCTCAAGACTGGATAGATTAGGGTTGAGTCAGTCTGTAATTTTCTTTTTCCCTTTCTTGAGTCAATTGTAAATATTTGAAGTGACTGATGTTAAGTAACCCTACACACACACTAGAGAGATTTAAAATTTGTGTTTTTACTCACATCATCCCGGACTATATTTACATCGTCCTGAATGATTAAGTCCAAAACAAAAGTTCTAATCATAATTTCTAAGTTAAGGAAGCCATAATAATTTGATCGGCCAGGACGATACTTGTATCGGCCAGGAAGATATGCTCAAAACAAAAAGAAATAGCTGCCATAATCAATTTAGGTATTCTGTATTTTTGGAAATCGGCCAGGATGATCGTGAGATTGGCCTGGAGATATGACACAATTATGCCTAAATTGATCTGGCAATTAAGGAAGTAATTAAGGATGATTGATACGATCAGATCGTCCTGTACGAGCGCAGGATCGGCTAGGATGATACATTCAAAAACCCTTAGTTACTCCTGGACGATAACTATCAGCCAGCTTGAATTCAGAGCGATGCTCTAGATGATTTACGTCTGATTTGAACTAATCATCCGGAATGATCGTGAGATCGACCAGGATGATCAAGCCAATTTTTAATCATCCTGATCATCTTCAGGGCGATGTTCTGGCTGATCGTCCGTGTTTTGAACTAATTATACATGACAATATTATTATCGTCCTGGACGATAAAGTCGACAACTTGCAATTATTGAGCTCCTTTGAAGCTCTTCTATTTAAGAGCTCTTGTTCAACATTTTTTAAGATCTTTGGCTGTTGTCTTGACTTGAGAAAACTTAAAGGAGAGAGGGATAGAGGGAGAGAGAGAGAGAGGATCTTGTGAGGGGAAGCTTGTGAGGGAGTTCACAAGGGTTGCTCCAAGCATTGTTCCACTTTTTCTTCCCTAGAGTCTCTTATCCTTAGAAGGGTTGGGAGAGGTAAGCTTCAGCAATCGATCGAGGTTCTCTGCCTGCTTCAGGAGG